TATCCATAATGGAGTTATACTCTACCACAGTGGCCAAGTTTTATCCCTATATCAATATTCGCATCATGTCGCTCCTCTACATTAGGAAACCAACTAACTGGTGGAATAGCTAGCAGTAAAGTTAGTAATTCAAACGAACACATAAAATACAGAAATGATGAAAGGAACCAACCAACAACAATTAACACCAGTCATCGTCAACGGGTGAAATTCGAAGGAGGCCACCTCTCTGGATTATCCAGGAGGCCTTTTTTCAAATACGATCAGAACACATGAAGATGTCAAAACCAACTAAAACTGTAAAGGCAATGCAGACGCTTATACCTGTGAAGTCAATTTGGAAATCTGCTGCACTCAACATGAAGAAAAAGACTCTAATCTTCAACACCAATGTTAAGTCAATCATTCCATCCATATGCGTCAGGAGCTTAGCCATTACGTCACAAGAAGCATCTCCAACAGTCTACTGCAGATTTTCCACAACAGCTACTCACTTCACTGGCGCTATATTGAAAATGAAATGGCCGGCCTGGGAGAATTAGCAACAAAAAACTATGGGAACAAATGGACCAGGAATCTATTGCTCAACAGATATGGCAAAGAAAATGGAGGTATATCGAATAAACGGTGAGGAGACTGTTAGATGTCATCGCGCGCCAGGTTATTGCTTGAATAGAACCCGATTGTGGGGTGACGAGTGGTTCTTCCGAGTGTGACATGCAGGTGATTATGAGAGAAAGATATCAGAGACTATTGGTAATCGTGGAGCCAGCTTAAGAAGACCACGGAGAATAAGAAAAAGTGGAGTCGTGTTGCTGGAGGCCCTATGTTCCATTTGGAACCCAAGGGAACAATGGTCAAAATAAATTTCAGTGGAAATAAGAGAAATTCCTAATTCTTCATCTAACGTAATTTGCATAATTCACTAATATCACTTATCGAATCAGGTCGATAGTCATAAATTGGACACATTTTTAACAAACTGAAAATTCTCATTTAGACATTTCGATAACAAAGCAAACAATGAAGTTAAGAAAAGTATACCCTTCCAGCTAGTTCCTTTATTCATACCTCTACACTAATATTACAAAGCTTCTTTTGTTAAACAAAGATGTACTACAATGACATTCTACTAATCCTAAATGGTAATCTGTTAATCAATTAGAGAAATATCATTAGCTTGCTATAGGTTAGGTGAAAATAATCGCTGAAATTGGATTAGTAGTTAGAGGATAAGACAATCTAATCTAATGTGGTTATATAATTATTAATTTGTAAATGTTACAAACAGAGTTTTGTTTGTAGTTTAATGAGAATTAAGAAAAATAAATAAGTTAATGAATTTGTGGTTAATTACATAAGAAAATTTAGGCACGAAGAGATATGTGAACTAGCCATAAATAGTTATATCAATTAAACAGGTGGTGTTATATTGATGATAATGCTGCCAGTATTTAGAAGAACAGGGGAAAGGCTTGTCTAAGAGCTAGTATACACATAGTGTAGACGGCCCCGAAAAAGAAACACATATTTGGTAGTATTATTATTTATTACATTTGGTTCGGAGTGAAGCATAGGGCTCCAGAAGTATATCTCCACTTCTGTCTATTCTCTACAGTCTTCCCTGCCTGGCTTCAAAGTTGGCGATAGGCTTACATCTCCTCCTCACACGATCTCCTGCATGTCACCGTTGGACATCAAACTCTTCGTTTCCTATTCGGCTTACTCTTGAGGGCTTGTCATTCACTTGTCTCCTCAGCGTGTGGTCGATTTATTTCTATTTACTTTCGTGTATATACACTGTACATCTGTTAGTCAGGAACTAATTGGAAAGGAATACATTTATTCGATCAAGTTGTTACCTTTTTCTGCATATTTGTTGGGTGCGCTGCCAGAATTCCTTGTTGTTCATCGTTTCTGAACATCTAGTCTCCAGTATCGGGTGAAAGTAACTGTTGATAAAAGTTTGTATCCACCGATTGTATACACTACTCACTGTTCTAATGTCAAGTCTGTGGTCCATGTAGAACCATTGATTCACTTGACATTAGTATTAAGAATTTGGATCCTTTTACTTGTGTAGATCACAGGAGATTTCAAAAGTGAATAAGACCTAATGAAGGCCTACCTTGATTACTTGATCCTGACTGGTTTTGATATTCTCATTCGTGAATTTTGTCTGTAGGTGAAAGGATACTGCCTAGATCAGTTAGGTGAAGGAGATGATTTTCTTTAGATTACTTCCTGCTGATAGTGATTGATGCTTGTTGGTGTTGTTGTTTTTTAAACATCATCATCACTTCTGTCTTGCCTTTGTTCACTTGAAGTCCTATCTCCATTGCCTGCCTCTTCTGACGACTCGTTGGTTTTTGCCTGTTTTTGTGATATTATATATAGCCTATCCGCAACGTCCAGATATTCCAGTGTCTTCCTGTTCCCCATAATCTATGGCATGATTCAGTCCAACAGGATCAGGAATATCATCGTTGATAGTAGACGGTCTTGTCTTAATTTGATCTTCACTTCAAAGGTATATTCATATGAATCCCGACCACTTCTGTTGTATTTTCTAATTGGGCAACAAACGGAGTTATCTAGCCGAACTAAAAGTCTTCTGAAAGCTGATTTTAGACGTCGCGATACGATTTCATTGGTAATACCACTTGAGAATTCGAGGCTTGGAAACATCGACTTTTCATAATTATGAACAACGGAGTTTTGGTGCTTTTTTCATTCAGATAGAACAAATTGTCTCAAGCTTTTGATATTTAGGTAGTGGTGGTGTTGATTTTATGGAGTTCGGTTGGTAGCTTCACACCGAACCTCCCAGGTTTCCAGCCTTTCTACTGGCTAGCAAGCAAGGTGAGGCTTACGAATGCATCGGCTGAGAATCGAACTCGGTCTTCTCGCGTGACTGGCAGGCATTTCACCAATGGACCAGAGATGCACCAGGTGCTTAATTAAACCAAATATTTTACCAAAAACCTTGTCAGAAATCCGTTCCTACTGAGTAGACCATGAATATAATTGAGTACGTTGCTAAAGGTATTTCTGATTTGATTTTTTTGGTTTATAGTGATAAGCGGAGTTCTCATATTAAAACAAACTGAAGATAGACATTACGACATCACCACATTACAGTGACATCTTTTACGGTTTTTCAATTATTCTTTGAAGGAGTTAAATAATAGAGTGGTTACGAACTGATAATTCAAGGTTCCACTTTCGACAGAATAAAGAAATGATACGAAAACAACGGTTTCTAACACTGTGTAGACGTCACTGAAAAGAAATCGTGCTCCTAAGGTGTTCTATGTCGCCACTGAAATATATTCTGGTTTCACTAATGCCATGATTCATAAATTCCAGTGGTGTTTTGATGATCGAATGAGGGTCGCTACTGTCTAAAATGCAGCACTATTCACCATCATTAAAAAGAGCATAGAATGACAGTCAACACTCTACCGCAACTTCATCATCTTCTATAGTTTGGTTTGTAAGGATCAGTTATGTTTTACGAGTTGATCACGGACTGATATCAGTTAGAGAACCATTGAAAACCAGGGAGTACTGGACAGCTGCTGTTTCATCCTAGTTTGGGAATTATTGGCAGTACTCACACACCAACAGCGTTCGAACCCAGGACCTTCCAGTTACAAAGCAAGCTCGTATAACATTCAGCCACTGGATCCCGATTCAATGACCAACCCATGAATTCTAAATTTGTAAAAACAAAACTAACCCTTACAAACCAAACTATAGAAAATTATTCTGATGCTCGCTAGTGACTTGCAACAGGCTGGAGCTTCCTGTAGTTCTAGTGAGAAGTCGTGACCAGTGAGGTCCAATTAGAAGTCACGTGAGGATGGATTTCCACCAACGACAATAGTTGGGGTCGCGCTAAAATCACGAATTGGTAGAAGTTAGAATTCATGAGCCATTGAATCGGGTCCCAGTGGCTGAATGGTATACGAGCCAGCTTGCCTTGTAACCGGAAGGTCCTGGGTTCGAATCCCAGTGGGTGCGTACTGCCGATGATTCATCATCTTCGAAAAGGCCTTTGATAGCATTGGTCATAAAGTAATTTGGAAACTGACTGAGCAATATGGAGTGCAGTGTATCAGAATTGTATAACCTTCATTTAGCCACAGCTATATGCCAACTGATTCCCCCCAGAAAACCCACCGAAATGTTTGAAGTAAGACAGGAGTAAGACACGGCTGCCTACAATCACTGATGGTATTCCTGATTTCGGTTGCCTAGATCATGAGGCAGACTGTGGAGAGCGACAAGACGGATCTACTCTGGAAGAAAATAATGACTCTGGAAGGTTCGAGTTTCGAAGACGATTTTTTCTCTTGTCTTGCAGGCCAAAATTAAATAATTTGACAGAAGAGGCAGGTAACGAGGACAAGACGGTGACCACAGAGAGGACACTGGTTGTGAAAACACCTAATGAACAGCAACCACAAGCATCAGTCAACATCAAAAGAAAAAAATTGGAGGAAGTAACCTCTTTCATTTGGTCAACTGTGTACCATAGTTCCAACTCTGAAGAGTGCTGCTTTTTGCCCAACAATCTGTTCATACTTACCTTCTTGTGACTAACAAAAACGTTTAGTGTAAAATTACTACCCTTCTTTTGAAATTTTCAAATTTTAACAATCACATTCACCTCGAACTGTAAGCGAATTGTGCGATTTGGCATTTTCATGTCTATCCTCCATGTTCCATTACCATCTCCCGCCTACAAAATACTTTTATGATATTATACAACTTTTACCACATAAAAGCTTTTGTTTTCGATATTCAAATACATCATTGGTGTTATATTTCGTCCATGGGAATTGTAAAGGACAAACCGTGTTACCACAATAGGTATACTGACAACTTACTTCCCTTTTTCTGTTTTCATTGGTACATTAAACAATTTACGAAGGCAAGTATCCACCTATATTCGCATAGTTTAATGACGCAACTGGTTGAATTAGTGAACAAATAGACTTTTCACAGTTATTTCAACAAATCAATTCATTTTAGACTGGTGGGATGTGAAAAGTTTCAGTTACTTTTTAATGTGTTAAGAAAATAGTCAAATCTCTCTTACACTTATTGCTTAAACGCACTGAAGACAATTCATTCTATTCCTGGTGATCTATTTATCTATCAAGAAATATGTCAGGACAATCAAAAGGCCAAGTGGTGAATATTCCTGTGAATCGTGAACCAAGATCATTTGAGAAGCAAAGACGTGATCTGTTGACAAGTTTGGAGAGTAGAAGTAACACTAGTGGTAGTCATCCTGGGAAATCTCTTACACAATATCATGAAGACTGGTCTAACACAGTGAACAAGTGGGTTACTTCAACTTGGAAAAAATGGGATGAAGATATGAATCGGTTGAGAAAAGGAATGTTTGAATTATTGGTGGGTTATTATTATAATTATTATTATTAGTTTTATTCTTCATAATAATTAATATCAATGAGTGGAGAAATGAGATATCTTTTAAGAATCTGTTAATTCATGCTTACTGATTTCTTTCCTGGAGAGTATCCTTCAGGAGTACTACTAGACCAGCTAGATAAATTTTAACGGAAACCAAACATTTTCCGATAAAAAGACTTCTCTGAATGTTTTATTTTAATGTGTTGTAAAGTCGTCTTAACACCAGACGTCCATTTCATTCTTGATTCGCAATCTATACAGTTTGAGATGAAACTTCGGATAACAATTATTTCTAATTCAACTCTGATTTCCCGGTTGGTTGATTGATTGGACCAAAGTGTTCGGTCGAACGTTTAAAAATAAAGGGTGACTGATGCCCGATGCACACCATGTGACTGTCGTGTGGCTCAAGTGGTCTAGTGAATAGTGCTTTGGCGTTTGAAATGATGCGTACTGGGTTTGAGCCTCGGTTCAGACACCATTATTCACTAAGGAAAGCACGTACATCCAAACAACGAGTCCTAAATAGGACAAAATGAGCATCCTGAATCCCACTGCTAGTTACCATCTACCAAATTATTCAGATAACAATCTACAGCTAAATGGAATTCGGTTGTTATGAATCTATGCGGCTGATTCACACAGATTGTATCGCTGATGAGCTCTGCCCCAAGCGAAAAAAGTTACCCTCCGGTGTTTATATTACCTGATCTGGTGCGAGTGATGTCCAACTACTCATATCAGTTTATCAGTAGTATATATACCATGAATTTGTTCTTGGTTTCTTGATTGACACTTATGGTACAAAGCAGATCGCATATTGTGATCTAAGTAGTTTCAGTTTCCATTCCAAATCTTATAAAGTGAGAACTGCGAATTAATTTGCAAATCGCAAGTTTGATCTGAAAATATCAATACATTAATAAATTGTTGCTTCAATTTTGGTTGGATTTCAGATTCGTTTTTGTTTGCCTAAAACTGCCCCTTTCGTTCATTCTCTTCGTTGGTTACGTAGTGTTCACTTCATTTATACTTTTGTACATTTAAATTTTCAAACAATTTATTATATCCTGAAATGTTTTCAAATTAATTTGTTTATTGGATGCAAAAGACTCAATGAAATAGTATTACCTACTTGATGATGTTTTGAACACAATTTAAGTGTTCATAAAATCATTCCACTTGTAATTATACAACCTCAAAACTTGATTTTTATCATTCTTTTTCTAGCCTAAGCGACAGTAACCTTGGGAAACCAGTCAGAATTCAGATGTGACAAAGTCTCATAATCGTTTAAAACTGAATTAAAAATTATTGCGAAAATGATATTATACCATAAAGTTGTAGCTCATGAGTTGTTAGAATGTCTCTAAGTCAAGACACAGATGATCTTTAGAGAAATCATACCATGCGCGATAGATGCATTCATCCAGGTGACTGCAGATCATGGTACTTTGAGATCTATTGGTGTTTCTGACAATGTTCTTTAACCCCATAACCCTGCCTAACAGTATGGATTTAAGGAAAAAGTACCTTGGGAAATAGGTAGAATACTCTATTTACCTTCTCCAAGTACAAAGAGGCAAGTATGACTTGGTTTGGAATGACCTACCGTAGAGTTCCCTAAATCTGTTAATATATGTGTAAAACTTGGTCACTGTGGTAGTAAGTAATTCCATATTAGTTTGTTTATTAGATGTATCACACAGTGAAACAGTATTATTTACTGGATGACGTTTCGAACAAAATTTATTATTGTTCATAATCATCTCATCAATTATAATCACACGACTTCAAAACTTCAGTTTCATGGTTTTCTTTGTCCTCTCCTATTTGTCGTCGTTGGGGTAGTAGAATTTTCCAGATATCTGGGACAGGTGTTGAATCATTCCAATTACATGTATTTGCAGTTGATTCCATAAACAAAGCTTCTGTTATCAATATTAATATTATTATTATCACTATCACTACTATCATTATTTATTTTATTTTTACATTTTCCCACATACTTTCTGACTAAATTATCAGGGTAATTATTAAGTTTCAAAGCTTCTCTTAAATGCCTCACTTCCTGTCTGAGATTTTCCTTGATACTATTTAGTTTTTGTGCTCTATTATTTAAACATTTCACCAACACTATGTTCACTGACATGGGAAGGGATGATCGGAAGTTCAAATATCTGTTTGAATGTGTGTGTCTCCTGTCGACACTAGTGTTTAACTTCCCATCTTCTTTCCTTTTTACGCTACAATCTAACACTAGAAGTTCCCCTTCCTGACTTTCCAATTCATAAGTTAATTGAATTGTCTTCACCTTTTAGTTAATGTGTTCGAAAAATCTATCTATATCCTGTGTTCTAAGTACATTGAATGTGTCGTCTACACACCTCCACCATACGTTTGGGGGGGGGGGATGAACGTTTTAATTGTTATGTTTTCCCTCCTATCTATGAATATATCTGCTACAACCGGGGATATTGGTAATTCCATGGCAGCTCCCTCAGTTTGTTTGTATATTTTCCCTTGGAAATTAAATACTGTGGAAGTCAGGCACAGCTGCACCCCCAGCATTATATCCTCAAGTGGCACTTTCGGCCTATGTTCGAGTTTTTGATCAGAAATGACAATGTCAAAACTAACCATTTTCTCTTCATTATCTAATTTTAAATGATACGTATTAGAGAAGCCTTGAAACTTAATAATTATCCTGATAAATTAGTCAGGAAATATGTACGGAAATGTAAAAATAAAAATAAAATAAATAATGATAGTAGTGATAGTGATAACAATAATAATAGTAATATTAATGACGACATGCATGTCAAACATGTGCAGGATAATAACAACACCATCAGTAAGGAATCTAAATCATCAGTAGTAATTCCATACAAGGAAGGAACCTCGGAAACCTTACGCAGAATTCTTAACAAGGCAGGCAGGAATAAAAGTGGCATTCAAACCACCCACAAACTCAATTACAAACAAGCTTTGTCGGTTGAAGGATCAGTCCTGTGGAGCCTTTAAAACGAAACAATTCAGTTTATCTAATACCTTGCAATGATGGTCAGGTCAAAGTAGTAGAACAGTTGCAGTCAGACTGGCTGAACATAAAAACCAGCATATCTAGATTGGTTGACCCGAATAAGATAAGAAATCTAGAGAATAGTTCAGCTATAGCACTACGTGCAATTACACACAAACATACAACAGGATGGGATAAGATGACAGTTTTGAAATCTAATGTGACAGAGTGGAGAGAGAGATTGATAACAGAAGCTTTGTTTGTCGAATCAACTGCAAATACTTGCAATAAGAATGATTCAACGCCTGTCCACCCAGATATCTGGAAAATTCTACTACCCCAACGACGACAAATAGGAGAGGACAAAGAAAACCATAAAACTCAAGTTTCGAAGTCGTTTGATTATAATTGATGAACTGATTATGAACAATAAATTTTGTTCGAAACCTAGTCATACAGTAAATCATGCTGTTTCACTGTGTGATACATCCAATGAACAAATTAATATGGAATTCCCTTAATCTGTCCGGTCCTGAAGATCAACTTTTTAAAGACCTTGACTTTGTCTTTGATACTTTAACTTAGCCTTTTTTTCATATTTCCTGTTTGTCAAGCGAGTAAAAGAATATTTTAGATATTCGGGACAGATGTTGAATCCTTCCCGTCAGTTGATTCGACAAATAAACCTCTGATCATGAATATTTCTGTTTCTCTATCTCGGTGTGTTTGATTTAAAAACTGTCATCGTATTCCATCCTATTGTCTGGTTGTATATGATTATATGAATTGCTAAAGCTAAGCTTTTTTTTCCACATATCTTATCTTATTAAGATATCTACCGGACTAGATTTCATGAATTTTTACGGCCATGTTAATTCAATTGACTTCAACCCACTACTTTTTCTACGGTGGGGGTGGTCATTGGCAAACTGATGTAAAGATATGACCAGATTACATCTACCTTATAACAGAATCACAATTTGCACATGTCCTCCGTATTGTGCTTCTTATGTCTTCCCTTCATATTTTCTATGTTGTTTCACAAAGATCTTTGATTTCTCCTCATTGTCAATTATTCCATACGCTCACTATTCAATATTTTTGCAGAAAACTTCACACAACATATACTACTCATGAAATTTTGATCATAGGGAATAAAAAAACAGTTGCAGCGAAGAAAATTTTCTTTTCGACGATATCATCAACTAGGCTGTACATTGGTGTATTTATAATAAATGGGTAGGAAAGTTCCAGAATAATTTCCCGCTATGGGTCAATTTAATAAAATTACAATTAGGAAATAAAATACCATAATAAACAGGGGGACGGATAAAGCTCAAACAAAGTGGCATCATAATTATTGAGAAGATTGACATATTGTGCAATTGGGGGTAAGAAATGTAGAAATAACAAAAATAGACAGGATGTTTAGATAAAAAAATCTAGTGGTATCATAACTAATGTGACGAATAATTGTTTGTGCAATCATGGATTAAATATGTAGAAATCATAAAATAACAAAATAGACAGGAAGTTCGGATATGAAAATATGGTAGTGTAAATAGGGATTAAGAAATTACCAGAGATTCACCAGAAAATTATTCTGGAACTTTCCTACCCAGATAATACACCAATGTACAGCCTAGTTGATGATTTCGTCGAAAAAAAAACTTTTTCGCTGCAACTATCTTTTTTATTCCTCATGAAATTTTGTTAGTGGCACTGTCCAGAATTTGACTCATGTATATAAACTGACAGTCACTAGGTCATATCAGGTAAACTAAATTATTTTGTTCAATGGGCACCTTAGAATCTTTTTGACCAACATATCTTGTTTCTAAGTGATCTTGTGAGTGTGAGTACCACTTTTATTCCTACCTTGTTAAAGACTCTTTATAGAGTTTTGGGGACTCCCATTTTGTATGGTAGCATAATTGGTGCTTAAAATTCCTTTTTTTTGACGTTCTTATTTTATTTTGCATATTTTCTATGCTCTTTCACGAAGATCTTTCATTTCGCCTCATCACCAATTATTCCATACGCTCACTATTCAATATTTTTGTAGAAAACTTCACACAACATATACTACTTACGAAATTTCGTTAGTAGCACCTGCCAAAATTTGATTCGTGTATTTAAACTGACAGTCACTGGATCATATCAGGTAAACTAAATTATTTTGTTCAATGGGCACCTTAGAATCTTTTGACCAGCGTATCTTGTTTCTAAGTGATCTTGTGAGTATAAGTGCCACATTTATTCCTACCTTGTTAAGGACTCTACATAGGGTTTTGGGGACTCCCATTTTGTAGGGTAGCATAACTGGCGCTTTAAATTCCATTTTCTTGACATTCTCAATTTTTGCATATATTTGGTAGTTTTACATTTTTCTTAATGGCTGTTGTATTTATATTCTTACAATTTCTTGTATACTACCTAAGTGATTAATCAAGATAATTGTTAAACATCAAAGCTTCTCTTATATGTGTGATATTTCAAATAAATTATTGTGGTCTTTTGAGGGTTGGTTTTCAGGGTGTTGATTCGTTTCAAATTTTAGTCATGAACTGTGGTATAAATTCAAGAAGAGTTGAAAATTGACCCTTGAGAATTAATCTAATGTACATTAGTGACTGTAGTTGTAGACAGAGGTCGTGACCTGTGGGGTCCCCCAATTCGGGTGTGTGGACAAATACTCCCTGATGACATTGGTTTGTGGTGGCGATATATGTCGCGTATTGGCAGAAGTTAGGATTCACAGACCATTGTATTCTACCCCAGCGGCTGAATTGTCGAAGTGCTTCCCTGGTAACCTATAGATTCTAGGTTCGACCACTGGTGGGGTCACTGTTGCATACTGCTGAAGAGTCTCTGTACTTCATATCTTTCAACGGTTCTTCAACTGATATAATTATTATTGCATAGCCTCTTGAATGAAAGTATTAGTAAACGTTTCCTTACTCAGCTAGTCTTTTGTAATTCTCAATATACTGGTAAAGATTCTATGTGAATTATTTTGTGTTTTAGCCTGCGGATCATTTCACTCACTCAACTAATCAGGATAAGTCTATTGTGACACATAAAGTAGAAGATCATGGTCGAGACAGAATGAGTTCAAAGGACGCTCTATCTACTGGTTCAGTATCTGATTTCTTGAAAGATGTTTATGAGATTGGTGAAGATGGGAAAGTAAGTTACAGTAACTAGAAAAAATACCATATTTGACACTATGTGCTCACATAGATTTAGGATTGATGAGTATTTATTGTTTCGTTTTTTTTTGAAGGTTTATTTTAAGGTGAGGTTTAATGCAAAGGGCTTTGACCCAGAAGATATAAATGTAACATCGAATAACAACCGTTTGGTTGTGCATGCAAAGAAGGAGACAAAAAGTGATGGTGGAAAGTCTACCCATGAATTCTGTCGCACAATTCAGCTTCCTCCGAGTGTTGAAGTTAATCAACTGAAATGTCGTCAAACAAATGTAAGTTATGAATCTACTTGTACGCAGACTGTAATCTTGGGGAAGAATATGCAGAATTTGTATACTGACTGCATGCTTTTCATTATCTTTCTCTGATTTAGGATGGTGTTTTGATATTGGAGGCACCAGTAAAGGTTCCTGAGCACCAATCACTGACATTGAATGAGTCTGGCCAGATAGGTATTCGCCCAAAATCCAGTGTTCAGCTCCAGACGGTCCCTTCTTCAAAGGTTCTTACCGTGAAAGGTGAGACAAACAGTGTGACGTCATTGTAACCTTCACGTTTCTTTTATTTCTCACATTAATTAAAGTTATCTATTGATTTTCCACTTTATCCAGGTACCAAGGGTTCAACGGTTTTAGATGATGGATCCGGTGGCAAGCGATTACACATAGAAGTTCCAGTAGATTCTACCTATAAACCTGAGGATTTGTGTGTAACTGTTGATTCTAATCGTGTTGTGGTTAAAGGACGTCATCAAAAGGAGCAGAGTGATGCTCATGGGAAGTCAGGTTCGTTCACCGAGTTCACTCAGTCGTATACAGTCTCTGAGATGGTGGATCCATTGTCTGTTTCTGCACAGTTGATAGGAAATACTTTGGTCGTGGAAGCTCCATTAGTGAAGCACAATGCCATTACTCACTAGAAGAGTACGATTTAGCTCAAAATGACTATTATTTAATTCACTCATTATGTTATGATAACCCAATACATATAGTTCATTAACCAAAAATGAATTCTTCTGTCTCTTGAGAATTGGTCAACTTTTTTATGGGCAACAATAGGGTATGCTAGATTGGAATTCCATGCTTAAAGAGACCTTCTTCTGAAGATTATGGAAGTGACCATCTTTCTTTTCAGAATTTATGTCACAGATTACTTCTAGTTGTTGGAACTTGATTTCTGTTTTTAGTCATAGTATCATCTGAAACATTATATTACATGTCGTCTTTATTTTTTCTAAAGTAACATTAGGAGTAATATGTGCGTTTTACTTACTATTGGGTGGTAATTATTGAATAAAATAACAGACTGATGATGAGTTATAAACTTTGTAAGTAACTTGAGCTATCGTATTTTTCATAGACTATCATACGTGAAGTTCACTCACTTGTAATTCCTTCCAGCCATCTAACTACTTCCTTGAAGACCAATCTGCAGTCACTAGTTAACTAACCGAAAGGAATGAAGATAGATTGGACACATACTGAGAAGATCGTTGAGTGATTTAACACTCCAGGCAGGCGCTCAAGTGGAACCCGCATGGAAGACGATGAGTTGGACGTGGGTCTGAGTGAGCGACATGGAGGATATCATGTGAGGAGGTAATGAAAGCTTATGGGGAATCGTGGGGCCAGCTAAAAAGGATTGTAGAAAACAAAGCTAAATGGGGATAGGCTGCTGAAGCCCTACATTCCTCCAGGAACCCAAGGGAATAATTATGATAATATGTTCTAAGGGGACAAAACCGTTGGGAGTTGAAGTACACTTCAAAACAAACAGTACCGTAGGTTATTATTTTACTTAATGGTTTTTAATAAGCAGTAGATAGAACCACGCTTAAAACACTGTGCTATATATGAACTTATGGTTCAGACTAAGGCTATTAATATTAATTTTTAAGAACTACTTTGTAGGGATTTGATTTGTTTCATGTTTTGATTCCGGATTAGTGTCAGTCAGAGAACCATTGAAAACCAATGTGTATTGAACAACTATTTCGTCCTAGTTTTGGACTTCTCAGAAGTACTCATCAACGTGGGTTAGAAGCCTGGATCTTCCGGTTGCAATGCAAGCTAATGGACGATTTAGCCTATGAATTCCTGCTTTTAAAGTTTTTCTATGACTACTAGCGCGTCAGCCAACTGTTACTATATTTTGCGTACTCGAAGACTAAAGCAGAACAGCTGTTCGCAGTTACATAATCGCTCCATTATTCAAAAGTTAGTGCCATAAAACTCTACAGCTAACTTAAAATTTTCACATGGGATACTAAATAGGCGAAAAATACTTTTTCATTCCGTCCTTTCTGAGCAGAATTTCGCGCTTCAAGCCCCGGGGATTGAAGTTTCAATAGATGTAGACTTGATATCCATAAATGTAGTAGTAATAGTAATAATAATAGGCTTTCGTTTACCCATACTCTTTCTTAAGTAGTCCAGTAGCTTAGTGGATAGCACATTGGCATTTGAAGGGATAGGCGCTCGGTTCTAGTCCCAGTGAGTACACCATCACTCACTGAGGATCAGGTAAATCCAGTTGGCATGCCTCAACAAGACGAGACATTTGTCCTGGATTCTACTGCTAACCACTATTATAAAAAATAATTCTAAGTTTCTAATCTTTGATCATGAACAGATTGGTTGTAAAATGAAGTTTTACAGAAATTAAATTATTATTATTCCCTTGGATCCCAAGTAGAACATAGGGCCTTCAACAGTACTCCTTCCTTTTGTCCTATTTTCTGTGGTCTTCTTTATTTGGACTCCCAATTGCCTATAGGCTTTCATCCCCTCCTCACACGATCTCTTCCATATCACACTCGGAAACATGCCCAACTGGTCATTTCCCGGTCGGGTTTGACTGAAGAGATGGTCTGGCGCTTGATGTCATTCGATGGTCTCCTCAGCCTGTATCCAATACATCTCCATTTTTGTCACCATATCTTTTGAGCAATAGATTATTGGTTGGTTTGTTCCCATAGATTCTTTTTGCTAGTTCTTTATGGCCTGTCATTTGGTCTTCAATCTGGAGCCAGCGAAGGCGGCTGTTGATAAAAGCCTGCAGAGGCCAGTTGGAAATGCTTTTCGTGACGTCATGACTACGATTCTGGCACACATGGAAGCAATGATTGACTTAACACAGGTGTTGAAAATCCGAATCTTTTTCTTCATGTTGAGTGCAGTAGATTTTCAACCAGACTTCACAGTGATAAAGTTCTGCCTTGCCTTTCTGATTCTGTCTTGCTTTGATATCCGCATCAGTTCTGCTTCCTAGATAAGCGAAAGGAGTGACTTCTTTCAAATGGCTACCGTTGATAGTGACTGGTACTGGTTGTCGTTGGTTGATTGGGGTTATTTTCACCACCTCTGTGTTCTCTACGTTAGCTTGAATTCCTGTCTTTGCCTCTGCTTCTTCAACCAGTTTGTTGGTTTTCTTTTGTGGGTGAGTGATGTTGTGCGACCTTAGACACATATCATCCACGAAGTTCAGTTCTTCTAGATTCTCCTTATCTGCCCAGCGTATTCCTATCTTCTCGCTCCCCCCAAGAAGAGAAATTTTTATTTATTGATTTTTTGGTTGAATATAAGGTGTACGCATCTACTTACAACCTGACTGATAGAATTCAGTCTGCACCAAAGAGAGGACTAGACGCATCACACTAGTCACTAGTGTCAAATCAAAATTTCCACTACAGTCCCACAGGAGGTCAATCGCGAGCCCGAATAGCTCAGTGGTAACTTCTCTCACTGCAGCACTGGGTGACGCGGGTTCGAATCTCAGAAGGGACATGAGTTCCTTCAAGGTTGCAGATACGCCTTGTTGAAGAGTGCCAACTAGCACGGAACCTAGGTCCAAGGCTTCCTGACGATTGCCTCCAACCATCTAATATCATCACAAAGGACTAGATGTATGACATTAGTTAATACCTACTGTCGAATCAAAGTACCCAGTATATTCCTACAGGAGGTCAATCGTGAACCCGAATAGCTCAGTGTTAACGTCTCTGACTGAAGCTCTTGATGAACTGGGTTCGAATTCCAAGCTTTCAGATATTCCTTGATAATGCGTGTCAGAAACCATGAAATTTAGTTTAGGCAGGGCTTCCTGTTGATTACCTCCAACGGTCTAATATACAGGGTACTTTGTATTACGATAGGGCACTGAAAATGACATGTAAGCTGAGAGTGAAATCTATGACAAAAACTCAAACCTAAGAGAATACTAAGACTAGTAACATATAGTATGATTATAGTCAGGAGTAAAAGAGAAGTATGCAGAAAAGAAATATTTCTTTTATGAATAATAACGCGGAAGATTTTTAGCTCAGGCTTATGATTTTGGTTGTTATTGTACTCACTGAGGTGAATGTGTTTAACTGTGGAGCTTTCGTCATCCATCTAGACAACCTTTTCAGTGCAAATTTCCAAATGAAGTGAATGAAATGATAACCCTCCTTCCCAATGACCTTAACTATGAATGGTTTTCTCAAGAGATTTCACTTCAGCCTCTATTGATCGGTTAACAGGATGTATCCAATGTGTTACGTCTAGTCCTTGTTGTTGGTAACTTACCAACAAGCGCAAAACCTAGGTCAAACAGGGATTCTTGATTACTTCTTTCAGATAGCTAACACTTCAACCTTCTTCTACCATCACATTCAAGTTTATAGTCCATGTAGTGATTAAACTATTTAGTCGTAACTGAATTATTTCCTGAATATTATTCCATAATTTTCTTAATATTTACTATCTCCATATTTATAAACAGAATTACTTGTTATTATTTGTTGTTTTCTTGGGTTTTGAGTGAAACGAAGGGGTTCAGAAACACAGATCCATTTAACTTTATTCTCTGAAGTTTTTTCCACCAGGCTGCACAACGATACATAAAATTTTATTTCCTCTTCACATGATCTTCATGTCGCCTTCTAAACGATCCCCGACTCATTGCCTTCCATTCGGTTTCCACTCGGTGACCTGCAGCTTGATGTCACTCAATGGTCTGACTAAATCACCAAGTTACTAGAGTTCCCAACCACAAAAATGCTTAAACTCTTCAGCATTTCTTATTGTTTTAATCATTCAGTTATATATTATGACCGACTGCATGAACTCGCGGGCATATTTAATTAGCTTTCAACTAAACGCTGTGCAATTCTTGAAAAAGGTGAAGTAAAAATGTACATGTGCAACAACACCATGTTACATGATATACTTGTTTTTATTGCTTTATGTGTAAATCCTATGCGAGGACTGAATGTTTTGGAAAGCTGAAAATTTATATATTATGTGTTCACTTATTGTCTGGAATAAAGCCGTATCATTGTTATTATTATTATTATTAAAAAAGTGCATGTGCAATCCATCTCCATTTCTTTTGGGAAGCCTTCTGGGCAGTATGCTCTTACAGGATTTCATCATGAGCTGGTATTGGTTAAAGAACTATTGGAAAACCTGGGAGTGCTGGACGGCTGTTTCGTCCTAGTTTGGGGTTCTAGTGAGAAGTCGTGACGAGTAGGGTGCAGCAGGTCGGGTGTGAGGACAAATACTTACCGAAGACATTGGCTAGCGGTCGCGCTATGTCGTGAATTGGCAGAAGTTTGAATTCATGGGCCACTGGATCAGGTCCCAGTGGCTTAATGTTCTACAGAATAGCTCGCCTTGTAACCAGAAGGTCCTGGGCTCGAACCCCGTGTTGTGGGTGCGTGCTGCTAAAGAGTCCTAAACTAGGACCAGACAGATATCCAGTACTTTCATGTTTTCCAATGATTCTCTAACCAATGCCAGCTCATGATGAAATCCTGTAACCAATCAATCAAATCCCTACAAACCAATACTTGAATATCAATAGGCTCTTAGTTGGTTCACTGTCCGAATCCCTAGTTGACTATCCTTTCTAGTCGGCCGGCTGGCCGTTTGATCTTTACTATAAAGTCAGAGACAGCAAGTGTGGATGAAAGTCTTCAAGGATTTGTTAGAAGTGCATTTGGCTACGCGTGCACCAATTC